TGGGGATAATGGTCCATGCACTTTCCACAATATTGATGGCCCATCTATGAAATGGATGACTCAGATATCTCACCCCACAAGTCACCCTTGATCGACGGTCTATGTTCAATCTCATAAGAAGAAGCAAACCAAGGAAAGCTCTAAAAAACCCTAATCTTGTTCAAATCTATAAAAAAGGGATCGTCTCTACTCAAAATATCTACACGTTATCTTTCTGTCTCTCTCTCTTAAGAAGGTTTCTCTCTCTCCCACATTGTGAAAGAACCTAAGGGTTTAGGTTATAGAGTTCTTTTCTCTCCTATCTCTCAGATATGGATTTATGGCTTCAACAAAAAGAGAATCTATCTCTCTTAAACTAGGTTGCTAAGAGAATCACCTAGGGTTTGAGTTTGTCATCAAAGGGGTTCATGTTCCATTGGTATGGCTTAGCCGAAATTTGCTTTCCCAGTTCGAGATTGAAGCTAGACCGTTGATCCTGCGCCATCGAATATTGGTGACTCGGTGTGAGATGTAATAAGCGCGGTTGAAGTAATCTCCGGCACTCTTTCTTTTGTTTATTGCAATCTTATCTTTTATTCTCAAGCATAGTACATAGTTGTTTCAATGACATCAAGTTGTTAAGATCTTGGTTTTATTTTTATGTTGATTTTATTTTTAAATTTATCTTATTATAATAAAGACCACATGTAAGTGATCTTTTGCCAAAAGAAAGGGGTGAAAAAAAAAAAAATGTATTCCCCAGTAAAAGATCACATAGGTCTTTCTTTTAGTTGTTGATCACTTTCAACGGGCATTCTCTTCGGAGGTCTCTCATGTACTCAGGCTCAGCAGGGTGGGTTTCTGACCTTCTTAAGATGTTGGAAGATGTTTATATTTCTTTGAATGCAAATGATGAAGTGGCGTGGGAAATTGATAAGAATGACATTTTTTCGGTTAAATCCATATATTATTTGCTCTTCCACGATAGGGTAAGATGGTCTATGCCTATTCTTGCCAGGATTTGGAAGTGGCCTCTTCCGTTGAAGGTTCAAGGATTTTTGTGGTTGGCGGCCCAAGATCGAGTACTCACTATTGATAATCTTATTAAGCGTGGAAGATTTTACCAAATATTTGTCTTTTGTGTAAGGCGTATGGGGAGTCAAGTAACCAACTATGCCTACATTGTACCTTTGCTAGCCATATTTGAAGATGGTTTCTCGCGAAGTTGGGAGTTACATTGGTAATGGCCCTCTCAGTAGTGAGGATAATAGAAGGCCTCTCGATTCCACTTCCGAAGCTGGGGACTATTACTTGGCAAATAGTTAGAGGAGTCAGTCTTTGGGAAATTTGGAAAGAGATGAATAGGAGTCAGTCTTTGGGAAATTTGGAAAGAGATGAATAGGAGAGTCTTCGAAGGGGTGACTTTGTCTTGTAAAAAGGTCTTGGATAGACTTCTGCACTGTATTTGGTCTTTTCTTTCGATTACTCCGAGGGGGCAGGATATCACTGAATTAGATATCAGAAGAAATTTAGGTGATATCTTCCACTGGAATTTCACCAAATGTAGGCTTAAAGGGAGATGGTTGCCACCGCCACAGGGGGTATATAAATTAAATTTAGATGGCATCTCGATAGGCAACCTGGGTGTATCTGGCTTTCGAGGAGTGATTCGAGATTGGGATGGAAATGTGGTTCTTTCTTATGCAAGTCCTCTTGATGTTCGGACTGCTAACTTCACTGAACTCTCTGCCGTTCTTTTTGGTCTGCGTACTATTGTGGATAGAAAATTGGGGTATGAGTTCATTCTAGAGGGGATTCTCTTAATGTGATATTGTGGTGCAAGAAGGAACAACTTCTCTCGTGGGAACTGAAACCGTTGTTGTTGCAAATCTTGGTTTTATTTGTTTCACTCTCTGTTTTTTTTTTTCACGTTTATAGGGAGGCGAATGCCTTGACAGATTTCCTTGCCAAAGGTGGTACTACCCTTTCTGATGTATCCGTTTCAGAATATGTAATTTCATTCTAGAGCAACAAAATTTAATGAACTTTCTATCAACAAAAATAAAAGGTAACATCTTTATATAAATTTTTTCCTTAAAATTTATAAAAAAACACTACTAATAAAAATAACCTCCTATAAAGGAAATTACAAAAAGAAAGTACAAAACGTACATATATAAGTATTTTGACACAAACCCATAAATACAAGAGAAGAAACAATACCTACAAAAAGACATCTCTTTACCAGAAACACTTTCTTTATTTTATAAAATTCAATTGCCTTTTACAATATATGTTCATCGTCTTCCTAAAAAAAATCAATACTTTACCCAAGCGTCATCCTTCTTATCTCTTGTAAAATTGTAAACATTAAGACTTATCTCTGCTCATCACGTACCAACAACTACCATCTACCAATAAAATTCCATTTTTTTT